CAAAAAAAATAATAAAATGTATATTATTTATTAATAAATATATTAATTAATTAATTAATACAATAAAATAAATCTTTTGCATTTTGTCATCATTTCAATGGATTTTAAGTACATTTTTTTATATATAAATCAGTGCAACAAATACTTTTATTTTACAATAAATAAAATATTCTTACCCACATACTCTACAGTCATGAGAATGAGACTTTTTAGCATTAAGGTAAAAGAGCTTAGCTGTCATAAAAATAATGTTACAATGGATAATAAATGTGAATTTCTTTTTACAAAATGCACTTTCTTGTTTCTTTCTCTTTCTTTAATTTTGCAGTGAAATATGAGCTAGACATGTTCTTGAAAGCTTTAGTGAGATTCAGCCATAAAGCTGTTCTGCTATCTTTATTTTAGGACAAACACATTCCTCTGCTAATGAGTTACTGGTGGTGAATCTACAGTAAGTCATCGATTTAGAACAGTGAGAAGAAATGAAGAAGCGAGATGCCCGTTTATCGTCTAGCCTGTAAGCTGGGAGGAAATCCACTTACTCTTGATTCCTCCAGAAATGTTATTTAAGATTTTGAGGAACAAGAGCGGCAGAGAGACAGAAGAAGAGAGGAAGAAGTGACTGAACATTGATCTTTCAGATCGATCAACAAGTTAAGAGCGGGTAATTAAAGCGGGATTAGTGCCAGAAACGCTTATAACCAGCCTGAAGCGGGTAAGGGAGGGGTAAAAAAAACGTTTTCGGCGGTTTTCGGGCCCTGTAGAGAGGAAGAACTTACCTTGACTGTTTTTTTCACGGGTTGACATTTTAGCTGGGTATGGGACAGAAATAATAATCTCTCAAAACCAAACACAGAATGACAGACAAGGAACAGTTTTATTGACGCATGGTAAGAGAGGCCTGTCAACAGTTTTTAAGATGGGCGTGATCATTAGAAAAGTCTGGAAGAACTAACGAGGAACCACAAGACACAGGAATGCAGTTTGTGTGCGTCTTTGCCAAGAATATAACCACTTGAGAGATGCTCACACCTGTACTGCTCTCGGCCCAGGGCTAAACCAAGATTCGGGATAAGGTCGTTCCAGGGCACACTTAGCCTGTGATCACTGGCATGAGCCCCGTGCTAACAGTATTTTTCAGTGTCACCGCTAATCTTGCCCTGGGACAAAGCCAAGTACTAAGAGGTGGCATCATGCTACTGTAGCTTTCGTTTACACTTATGAATTGCATGTTGGCTACAGGGCACAGCTTAAATGTTTTTTACAGATGCTACTGTGCAAATGACATGTAAATGAGAATTTGTATTGATCTAAAGGGCAGCAGTTTCACTTGAACCACTGTGATACAGGAAATGAGAGGAGCACATGAGGAAAAAATGAAGTTGAAACATAATAGATCACGTAAAGGCAAAATGAGACTTTACCTTGGCTGATGACTGGATCTCTGTGTCTAAAGAGGAAATGGGACAAAAACACGAGACAAAAAAGTGAGTTCCAAAAACGGCATGTTTGTTCAACTACAGGAATGTCTTAAAGGAACAGTTCCAAAATGAAAATTCATTTTATTGTCATCATTTGCTCACTCTCATGATGTTTCCAAATCATATGACTTTCTTTTTTCCACAGAACACAAAAAGAGAATCTCTGACATGCTTTTTCCCATACAATGACAGTGAGCGGGAATTCCACAAAATCACAGAACACTTACAATAAGGTCCCTAATATTAACTAAAAATAAAAAAAATAATACCTTTGTCGCGGTATTTATTAAGCTTTGTTAACGCTAGTTAATTAAGTACAATTATTCATTTTTATCATTCATTTATTTATTAATCACTGTTAGTTCATGTTAGTCCAAGAAATAATGTAGAACTTTTGATTTTAATAATTTATTAGTATATGCTGCAATTAACATTAACTAAGATTAATAAATTATTTCGAAGTATATTGCATTGCTAGTTTATGTTAACTAATGCAGTTAACTAATATTAACAATTGGAACTATTGTAAAGTGTTACCCAAAATCACATAAAAGCACCACGGATGCACCATATCATCAGTTTTATGTTATAGCGAGAGGAATAAGTTAATGACCACACAAATTTCAGACATTATTGTCGGAAGACTTGGAATATAGCGCACAAGTGGTATAGCCCAATTTATGGTACTTTTATGTTGATTCCATGTGTCCATCCCCTTTCATTATCAGTAACTTCTCATTTTGTGTTTTCATGAAAAAAAAATAAAGAAAGTCATACAGGTTTACAACAACATTAGGGTGCATGAAGACTTTTTCTTCAGAACTTTTAAGCAAGAGGCAAGGGTCATAAACAACTTCGATTGTTTGCAATAACACATGGATCTGGACTTTTTTTTGCATATTATGTGCTGAAATTGAATGAATTTTATGGAATGAATTCAAATTAAGGTAAAATGTGCTGAACAGCAAGTATCACACTAAATATTGATAGCTAAAATCATAATCATATTACAAAAAATAAATGAGACATGGAATGTAACAAAGTATTGGTGTAACTTCATAAATCATGTGAGCTCCAGTTCGCGGGAAATCTGAGTTTCTTGGAATTTTCTTGGAAGGTCAAGAAAAATTACTTTAAAAGCCTGAAGCACTGTTTCAAAAACACTTCCGTCAATCTGATTTTTTTGTACTTTAGTTGGATGACTTATATGAGGACTCGAGTCTACAGCAAAGGGGACAGAAGGAACCTAACACTTACTTCTCTGCATTCTTCACCACTTTGGACAGCAGTTTGGAGGTGGAGGCTGCTTTCACCAGCTTATTCCTGCTCTCCTCTCCGCTGTCCCACGTGCTACTCTGAGAACGCTCCATTCCTCCACGCTTCGCACTGCTACCCCTGCTGCACAAGAAAAAACATGTAAGGATTTCATTTGAAAAGGAAGCAATGGCAGAAAAGCTGAAAAATGAATTTAGAGGAGAGGCATTGTGAGCTTAGAGGAGAACAATCCATTAAATCTAAATAGATCTACATAGACACACCAAAATGGGTCACATGCTTGTTCAGACAATTTTACATAGGATGGACTGCAAAGTCTAGATGCTAACTCAATCCAGGTCCTCCAAACTCAAATAACCTCTTTGGTTAATTTCAAACTGGAAGCCAGAAAATAAGCAACGCCCCTTGAAAGTAAAAAATACATCCCTCAGGTAAAAAGATCATGCATATGCCAAAGCACAATCCACTCGATGGTTAGTACACACACAGAGTAGCTGAAAAACTTGAAACCCAGTCCTGTGGTAAATTGCATGAGATTGTTCGGGAAAAAGACGCCACACAGCAAAGCTAAAGGAAAGTAGAGAAGGAAACATATCAGAGGGAAAGGGAAAACAGAGGAGTGTTATCCTCACTTGAAGCTGTGTACAAGAAAAAAAAAAGACGTTAACAGTCCAAAAACAAACCAGTTTTCTGGACCAACCCTTCTACACCGACCCAATTTCCAATTCATTCACTATGGGAGCTAAAAAGGAGGCTTTTTTGACAGAAAAGTGGGAAGCGCAACAAAAATGTTGGGAAAATCTGACCTTTATACAAAAAATTAATTTTGGGGCTTGAACCAACAACCTTCTGGTTAGCAGCCCTAAACTGAGTGGAGTCTATAGACCTAAGCGGAGAATATAGAGGCTAAGGCAGGGGAGCATGGGAAGAAATTTTGGTAGATCCAGAAACTCAAAGATGTACACACACATTAAAGCCCAAAGTATACTTAGGTTTTTACGTGTACATTGCACAATTTAAATTTCATCAGCTAGAATGTTCTATCTGTGGGTATTCGTACTTCATAAACGAGTATGAAGACATTTTTATCGGTCATAACTTTTGTAGAGAAATGGCGCAGACATTGGACGCAGATGAAACTTTCTAGAGCGCAAGTTTTGAGCGTCTGTGTTCTCACACGCTATCAAATGGTGTATACTTTGAAAGGCTGTGGGTTCGGTTGTACGTATACGCAAAGTGTTCACACTAAAACTGAAGTATACTTTGGGCTTAAGGGCATTAAATAGGTCAGAGCTGTAGCAAAGTACCTCCATCCTCACCAAACATGGGAGTAAGAGAGGAAAGGGAACGGACAGTACTCCGGGGCAGAGCGGACACACTTCCACATGTGAAAAACTGGCTTGAGTTCTACATATGGGGCCACTTGTGAGGTATACAGGTCTAACGATGTCCATCCCTATATTTACTGCACTTTCTATTACTAAGAGTTCTTATTTTCAAGAAAATATAGACATCACATGAGGCATCACAGTATTGACAGCTGTACATTTCTCAAAACAATCTCTGCAAGATTCCTAAAACACATTGTGCTAACAACAACAACCACAAATTTAGCATCTCTGATGCTAATTACCTATAAGAAAGCTCAAGTCTTTGCCATCTTCATCTATTGCAGAGGCTTTTCTAAGTAATGTGACTGTGGCCAAATCCTGGCTAATAATCTTCTTGTTGCATCGCCCAACAAGCATGGATCAGGCCGTGAAATGACATTAGAGAGACAGCTAATTGGTTTTCCAGTTCTCTTTAGCTAATTGGATGGGGCAGCTTGCAGAGTCGATATGAATAACCCAGCAGGCGGGCTCTTGGGTTATTAAGTACAGACTAGAAGGTTTGCTAATGGTGTTGAAGCATGGCTGGGCTAATGTATTAGCCTGATTATTCTGCGGATTATTAAGCAAGAACCAAGAGTTTGAGCACTGAGAGGACATCACATCTGCTTTCCATTACTTTCCTCTTCTGGGTGGACCGCTCAGAGCGATCCAGAGCATAACACATTCTGACCTACACTGTCAGCCTGATCCTAGCAGGACATTTAGCATAGAATGAGGGACACGTACTGATAAATGAAGAGAAAGCAATAATTTGTTTAGATATAATTAATTTAAGAGCCTGGAAATGAGGTTTTGTAATGAGTAGTGATGGATGCTGTTTCTTTAAGTCTTAGTGACTTACATGTGGCTCCTTCATTTGAACAGCAATGCATACTATGTTCTGGAAGTAAAAACTCCATCCTTTTTTTCCACAATAAAATCCATTGCATCCACTCTTTAAACAAATTATGAATATTTGCAAATGATGAAAGTGAATTGTTCTCCCTACATTATAAAGTTACTTATATATTTGTATATATCTGAATGTGTTCCTGGTATTTATCACGTTATGGGGACCAAATGTTCCCACAAGGATAGTAATACCAGCACATATATATATATATATATATATATATATATATATATCATAAAAATTACATTTTATTAATTGATATTAATATATTCATTAATATATTATCAAATAAAACATTTATTTTTAATTGTAATATTTCACAATGCTACTGTTTTTACTTTTTAAAGTAAGATATTAAATATTTTAAATAAATAAATTCTGTATTTATAATTATTTATGTATTTATTTGGTGAGCATTAGATACTTTTTTAAAAAACATTAAATATATTGACTTACCACAAACTTTTTAATGATATTAGAATTAAAGAATTCTAAGTGTTTAGAATTAAAACATAAATTTATATATTTTATATTGTTTTTATACTCACAATACTTGTTAATGAGAAGTGAATCATTTTAATCATTATTTTGTACTGCATCTTTGTTTTTGATATTATTACAACATTTGTAATGCTATATTAAATTAATTAAATAAAATATATTAATTTATGGGAGTATTTCATTCACCATAAAGAACTGTATTTTTCTTCTTCAAATCAAATGTTTTAAGTAGTGCTGTCAAACGATTAATCGCGATTAATCACATCCAAAATAAAAGTTTTTGTTTACATAATATATGTGCGTATACTGTGTATATTTATTATGTATATATAAATACACACACATACAGTATGTATTTTGAAAATACTTCCATGTATATATTTATATTCACATAATTGCTGTTATATATAAATATTTTAAATGTATAAACTTAACATATTTTTCTTAAATATATACACGCATGTGTGTGTATTTATATATACATAATAAATATACACAGTACACACACACATATATTATGTAAACAAAATCTTTTATTTTGGATGCGATTAATCGCGATTAATCGTTTGACAGCACTAGTTTTAATATTGTGATTCATCTTGGTTTGGTCCAAGATGTTTAGCTAATCATTTTTCTAAATCCCTATGGAGAAAATAAATGAGAAAAATACTTCCGGAACCAAGGCAGATAAAAAGCGGCCAGTCACTGTTGCGCTCTATTGATCTTGATAATGATTGAGGAAGCATGTCAGCCCTGCCCCTTGGCTTTACGTCAATAGGTTGCGAAACCACAGCAAGCCAGATTGCCAAACGCTGCTCGAACACTGCCAGAAATCGCATGGCTGTTGGGAGGAACCTTTTGGCCGGGGTTGACCCCTTGTTCTCCGAAAGCTGTCTTTGG